CCAGGGACTTGGCAAGTTCACGATGCACGCGGTCCAGCTGGGCCTCGTGGCGTGCCAGCTCTGTCCGAATGGCATTCGGGTCTGTCAGCTCCAGCAGGGCCTTTTTCCGTTTCATCCGGGTAACTAGATGTTGAACCTGAGTTGGAGGAGGTGGGAAAGGAAGTGAGGAACGCAGTGAGCGCAGGCGTCCGTGAGAAAGTGCACATTCCCCAGCCACCTGTTAAGCGAGGGGCAGACAGACATTGCATCACATTATACTACTTATGATAAGCAAGTAGTCGTGTTTTACTACTATTTCGACTAACCAACAGTTGCTGTGTTTCACCTGCAAGCATGTAATTGACGTACTTTTTTTAGTTTTTCTTTGGATCTATATACTTTATATCATCTTTTACCAATAGGAAGTTCAAAGGCCTTCGCCTATCTTTCCCTTTATAAACTTTTATTGATACTGACTCGGAACGCCAAAATAGGAAGGTAAAATCCCCAGGATAACGGACAAAGAGGTAGATGGAGAAGGTTGTTTATGACATATTAGCCATCGCCTGCCAGTTTAACCCAACCTGAGGTTTGAGGACACGGGTGTTTCTATCTCGGTCATTTTCGTTGCGTTCAACGCGCTAAATAAATAGAAGCTAATAGAAGGTGCCAGGTTCGGGGCTCCGCGGGGTTAGAGAGATGAGAAGTAGCCTGGTTTCCTATCTCTCGACGAAATGCAGGACCCACTAGATGGATACCATACATTTGCAGGGGAAATAATGAAACAATAGTTCTTGGTTGATGGACTCAGTGCCTAAGTCAAGCATCACACCTATTCCAAGAACCTACATTACCCCGACATGCAGACCGTCGTGCGCCCCTCTCCCTCCCCCCTCCCCTCTCAGCAGCCTTCCAGGGTGACCCGGCCTCCCACTATAATGACGAAAATCAACAAAAATAACTGCGAAACAGTAACATACCTCCCAGATGAGAGCCTCCTTCTCCACGCTGGTCTGTCCAGCAACTATTTGACGCAAAGTGAAGGCCAGCAGGGACTCCTGACGAAACAACTCCTCCTCCAGTTCTGTCAGATTGTCCGGCAACTCGAAGCCGCCAGCCACTGGGACG